TGCGCCTTCTGAACCTACCTTTTGATAACTTTTTTTTTTTGATAACACTGCGACAGCTCAAATTGGTATTGAGTAAACCCAAATGCAAGATAGAGTTTTTGAATTTCATTGAGTTTTTTTAATAAATACTGAAATTAGAGGTGTATGAATGGCGAAAGAAAAACTTCATGCGATTTTTTTAAATCGATACTACATTTTAACATATGTCCATGCATACATAAATATATATATATATTTTAATATGAACNCACAAATGTATGTTTTCTTCGAAAATACTCAAGTACTACCAGTAGAGTACTCTACTGTCAAATACCTTTTACTCGCAGTAGTTGCGGAAGGCAAAGTAAATACTCTACGCGTCTTGCTATTGATCGGTAGTTTACGTACGCTTGCAGAAACTGGTTTATGCTTACTCACACTTGACCCGAACGATGAGAGTAAAGGAGGGAAAGTATTTGCGCGGCGATCGGATGTCTTGTTAGGCCCTTTAAATGGAATTGCGCAGGAGTTTAGTTTGTATGCTTGCCGCGACAACTGTAAGCGATGAAAGAGACACACACATACATACATATGTAATAGGTATGCGCACGAAATAAATGAATGTACGCGGCGCCGACACGCGCGTATGTTTTTTTTCTGATAATTTTTATTTCATTTATGAATTTCTAGCCACATGTGTGAGTGTGCAAATATTTAATGCATATCAATTTGCGTGAATTTTTGTTTGTTTGTTTCTGAAACGATCTGTGCTTTTGTTTAGCTATGAGCGTTTAGTAGCACATACTCGTAGGAAGTAGCGCGAATTGCTAATTTTGGAAATGGCCGATTAGCATTTTCGATTGCGTTTGTGCGGTAGGGGGCCCGAGAGCATTGATTGCTGTATGCCTAATAGCGATAAGAATTGGAATTATGAACTTGCACTAGAAACAAGCGTTTCTTCATATTTATACAGTTGATTTTTAATTAGAAACTTCGGTTGTATCCGCGAATGATCAAATAACAACGGGTATAAGTCAACCAATCCAAACTTAAATTCCGTTATTCGGAGTTGTTTTATGTACATATGTATTTCGCTGCGACATTAAATCAATGAAATTTTTGCAAACAGAGGCCTCTGCATGCTTTCCAAGCTTTGCAATTCGATGGGCAACTTCCTCTTATGTTGTTGTTGTAACAACATACTAATGCTACTAGAGCAACAGTTCTTGAGCAGGTATAAATATACAAAAGTAGTTTCTACTTAGACCCAACAGTCGTGGAAAATATCGTCCTCTTATTGAAGCCCTTACTGTGTTCTACAAAGTTTTAATCGAATTTAAATTCAAACCACTCTTCACATCTTACATAATGGAACATTTTCGAATTGTAGTGGTGTCTACATCAAGATTTGATTTAGTTTAGATTGGTTTCGATTCGATATTCGTCTTCACTGGAGGCGTAATTGTTGGCTTTCAATCCTGAAGGGAGTGTTCTATCCCGTCGGCCGTCCATTGCTTTGCATACGTACATATGTACTTTCGAAGAAGACCAAGAGCTATCAATATGATAGGTGATATGCGTGAGCATATATAGACAAATCAAAAATAACACTGAAATTAACATAAAACTTCTTTAGTTTTGAAGTTAGTTTTTAAAAGAGCGAGTCTAGATTCACCGTATTGTATTAGGTGCTATTTGTAGGAAACCCAATCTTTTTTAGGCCGAAGATAATGGAGTTATCATTTTGTATCGATGACTTCCAGACTTAGTTCACTATCTTATTCTGCTATCCTTTCGTGACTTTCATAGGTGCTTTCACATTTACAGCGTGGCGACGAATAACTATTACCCAGATATTTTTGAGAAATAAAAGAGTCCTTTATAGATTTTGCGAAAAAAGTATTTTATTGTTATTTTTCCACAGATTTTACTTTAGTTGCATTAATTAGTTTTTAAATTTTAATCCTTATTTACATTTGCCAGCAGTGTAAACTTTGAGAGGAAAGTTCATTTGGCACGCAGGTCTTCGTCAGTTAATTTATTCCATATCTTCTGTAACCATAGGCTAATTTTCTCCATTTTGAGTCCCTTATACTCCCCCTTCTGTCCAACCTAAGGCCTCATACTCAAAAATCGAATAGACTCGGAACTGGTGACTAGGACGGTCATTCATTCGACCAACCTTATACAGTTTTTTTCTTTTTTGTACTTTTTTTATACAAAGCCTAAGAAAAAATACACCTGAAAAAGATTTGCGTGCCAAATGAACTTTTCTCTCAAAGTTTACACTGCTGGCAAATGTAAATAAGGATTAAAATTTAAAAACTAATTTATGCAACTAAAGTAAAATCTGTGGAAAATTATCAATAAAATACTTTTTTCGCAAAATCTTTAAAGGACCCTTTTATTTCTCAAAAAAACCTGGGTAACAGTTATTCGTCGCCGCTCTGTATACTCGTTTAGTTGAGGGAGTGGGCGAACAGCTTGTGAATTGGTGTAGAGAAGGGGAGATTACCTTTTGTTATGAGTATTTACATATTGGGGATTCCATTGGAATAGTCATGCTTCGGTTGGGATAATTAAATGGTGTGGATAGGTGTGATTATCAAATTGTAACCATAAAATAGTCACCTCCGCATGAATCTATGTAGAGCCCCTGGTTAGTTTGTTAGCAGTTGCTTACTACAGAGTTCCAAACATACCACGGGAGCCTGGTATGAGCAATGCCTGCACAATAGGAGCGTTGAGGATCGTGTGATGTGCCAAGATGGGTTATCGTTAGCCATGGATGGCCATGCCAGCGACTCACAGTGGCTCGGATCGCAAATCTAGCTGGACGAAACTATTTAAACAAATACTCGTTGATGGATCTTTACATCACTTCTTACCTAGGGGATTTTTGGGTCGCTGATTACGAATCTGAAGTCACTTATCAAAAATTCAAAATGGCGGATTCAATATTGCGGACGAAAATTAAAAAAAATCGGTAATTTCTATGAAACTAAGTATCTGGGGGTTTTCTGGGTCGCTGATTACATATCTAAAGTCATTTACCAAAAATTCAAAATGGCGGATCCAATATGGCGGACAAAAATTAAAAAAAAGGTAGATTTCTATGTAGCTGGGTATCTGGGGGTTTTCTGGGTGGCAGATTACGAATCTAAACTCATTTACCTAATTTACTTCGGAACGAGCATTTTCATCAGATATTTCTTTCAATTTACTAATCACATAATCACGGACACCTTGTTGTCTTTTAGAAGTTTCAGCAACACTTCTCCAAATGTCAAACAACTCACCTCTTAAGATTTTCTTTACCATGACTAAAATTTAAGATCACAGCAAGAAACACAAATAAATTTCAGAAAAAAATTTATAACAGCGCCTAAAGATTTGCATGCCTGTTGGATAATTTTTTAATTTCAGAAAGCAGAAAATTCGCGAGTTACTATTTTTTTTAACTCTTACATAACCAAAGTTTTTATAACTCCAAGTATTTTTCTGTTTTAACACACAACAAAAAATGAATATCCCCTTATGCACTTGTGCATGAGTGTGTTCGCAACACTCGGTTGTGTACGGAAAATGCGCAAATCGCCTGAACATATTCAGAGTAACATTTCTTTTTCACTCCTTATTCTAGATTATACCTCTTCAGTAAAAAAAAAAATTGATTTATCTCTCCTTTAAAAGGCGCAATCTGATTTTCAAATTGGTTTTCTGCCCAATTCGCCTAGGTATAGTGCGACGGGAGGAAAAGAGAGTTATCGGACGATAAAGCTCGCCTATGTCGGACGGTTTGCCAGTTTTCAATGGTGTGGCAACTTCCACATTTCCACATATCAGGAAGAATAAGAAAGAAATTTGCCAGATTGGGAACATTGGTGAGTTAGTGTACTTCCGTTGGACGAAAGCCGGTGCTACCCACAGGTATGGCTCGGATTTCACCATACTTACAGCTTATGTTTCAGTGAATTAACCTTAATAATTAAGAATAAATGTAACAACAAATACAAATAAAACTAAATAATACTAACCAAAACGCAAGTATCCAAACAGTTCTAGAAAGCAGTGAGCGAAAGGTGGCGCTTTTCTGTTGACAAAGTTCAGTAGCAGCGCCACTAAATAATAAAAGCACGTGCTATAGCAAACTGTGTACAATTTCCTCTCAGGTACTTTCTTAGTAAACACCTATTTTGATATTAATAGTCACACGCCAGTGCAGGTTTTCCAACGAATTTTTCAAATGTTTCTTTTTTCATGCGCTTTCAACGTTCCGACAATACAATTTTATTGTTCTTATATTTCGAGCACTTGTTAGTTAGGAAGTTTGTGTTGCTTCCATTTAATGAACTCAGCGTTTTTTTTTCGCGATCTCGTCTTTCTATGTTCTCCAATTTGCCTTCGCTTACAACTGGCGGTTATTTCTAGATTTCGTCTTTGCCGCTTTCCTGCGTTGGTGTTGTAGCCGATTTTCAATGCTCGTGGTTTGTTGATTTTCGTAATACTTGCGAAAAAAGTAAGCGATTTTCAGCTCCTCTGCTCCACTTTTTACAAATTCAACGCCTACGCGCACAAATTTACGAACACATTTAGCGAAGAATTCAACTGGCACTGTTTTTTCTTTGCTGTTGTTGTTTTGCAGCTCCTCCTTCAATTCGATCTTCTCTCTACTTTCCTTCTACATTCATTCTTTGTTTTCGGGCACACCGTCGCACGAAATACGAAAAAACGCGCACACATACAATTAGCTACAAAAAACTACGCGTACTAAAAAAAATGGCCGCGCTTATTGGCACTGCTGATTGCTCCCAAAATATGTATGTAAAAAATATATTTTTTTAATTTTTTCTACTTTGCAAAAACACGTGCGAAAAATGCATACAACAACACCGAGTTTGCGTGCAATTTTAGTTTACTTTGTTTGTGTTTTTTACTTCAAGTAGAATGTTTCCAATTACAATTTCTTCTTGTTGCTGTAACTTTTTGCTAACAACACACAAATATACACACACACTCACAGTAAAAGATTACAAGTCGCGCCTACTACCCAAAGACCGTGTCCGCTCGCTGTCAAAGCAAAAACTTGACTGTCGCTACCAGCAAAAAAAAAATCACATCACGATTTTTTCAAATTGGCTGCTGCTGCTCTGTTGGTTGCGCTGCTGCGACGCGCAGCTACAACCGAGTGAAGGCAGCGAAGACACTGTTGCTGTTGGCGCCTGATATGCGTCAGCGAGATAGAGAGAGGCAGAGTGAGAGAAATTGACTCTCATGTAATGCAGGCTGCAGTGTTGTAAGTAAACATTCATTAGGGCGGTATGCAAATTTGTTTGATTTTCGTAGGGCTGGTCCAATTTATATATTTGGATAACCGGTCGGATATTCGTGTATACGTATAAAACCCGGATATCTGGTTAACTGCGTTATACGGATATTCGAAACAGTGTTTGAACGGATTGGTAAAAAATTTCTCAAAATTAAGGAATCTTACGAGTTGCCCAATAAATAACCGAACACTTCATTAATGCACAAACATTTGAATTTTATTGTTGATTTTTATATTCCAAAAACTGGACACGCGGTTAGTATCCGTTAATTTTGTTATCTGGGTATTCGGAAAACCGTATAGTCAAAGATCCAGATTGAACTCGCAGCCTCATATTTTGGTGTTAAGGGAATTTTTGAAAAAAAAAATATATAAAAACTCTTAGGAAAATGCGATTTCCATTTCACATTAAAATGCTTCAGTGGACGTAATAGAATACATAAGCACACCAAACTTTTTTAGTCAGTTTGGATTAGGGTTGTAAATCACAATGAGACTATAGATGTTTGAAGAATCGCTGTTTCGAAAAATTACCTATGTCGATGATAGTTCGATGTATCGAATTAAAGGATCGATGTTTTTACCGACGTTTTTAGGAAAGTTTGCCGAGTTTTTTTTTTTGATTATTGCACACACTTGTTAATTGGATTTATATAGTTTTTGTTAAAGAATGACCAAATTTTTTATAAAAAATAACAAAAATTTAGATACGAAAAAAAGAAATTGTTAAAACTTGTTAGTATGTGGTGGGATAATATTTTGAAACGGCTTTTCATCCGATGGCGAGTTCGTCGGCAAGTCGATACGAGGTCATTTGGCGAATTTGGTGATGATGCTAAGCAATGTTACAGTTTCACTAGTTTTAAAGCAATTCAACTATTTCTTACTAATTTACCAAAGGAACTTACTTGGGCATAATTCCATTAAAGTACTTATTTATCAAACGCTTGCTCAAAATTTTAAATGAAATGGCTGCCAGTAGGAGGTACATCTCTCTAAGCGGTATTATACCAAAGTGTCATATTGTGTGTTACAATTTTTATTTTCCCGAACCAAATTGAGGAAATTTGATAGTTCCACTTCCTTTATCTTTTTAAAGCTGGGGAAAATTAAATTCCCAGCGTTTAAGTCGCCTTTTATGGAGAGTTGGCCATCGGCATAGGAACTAGTGCATCTTTCCTCCTCATCCTCATACCGCCAATTTCTGTAGAGAGAACTTGTTGGTATAAGCCATACTTGGAATATTGACACAGTATCCTGCGTGAACGCCGAAAGGAATTCTTACTGTTGGACTTATTAAACGTCAAAAATTACCCAGTTCGTTTTTCGTCAAGCCTTGGTCATAAAGACCTTGGAATTTCGCCCATATCTCGGTTGGTACAGAGGTCATTTGTTTCTCGAGCTGAACATCTGAGTCGACTGCATTGCCATCTCAATGGCTATTTTGTTCCCTTCTATGTACATATATTGCTTCCTCCACTTACTTTTCTGTATCAGGAGAGCATACTTCTCTATGTACTACAGTCCTCAGACCGGCGATATATGTGTGTATGTATGCAATTGATTGATATGCATGTCTTTGAATGAGCGATCGATTTAGGTGTAAATTTTATAAGTTTTCTTCGGTAGACTAGCGTCATATTCTTCGCTAGTTTGCAATCGTATACGATACTTGAAGCGGAATTCTCGATATAACTAAAGGTGATCAGCGCCGGCATATACAAAATTTTGTTTTCAGCATTCCTTCGAAGTGTGCAACAGTAATGAAGACTTTTGCCGATTTTAAATGAAGGATCATTTGCAACCACTTTACCACTTTTTGCCCCAGTTAATGTGAGTACCTTCTACTGTGAGATGCCCTTAAAATGGGACACGCTAAAAAAAATTTAGGTAGATTTTTTTGCATAACTCAATTCCATCGCCACGATAGCAACGTTTGTATCGTGGGGGAGTTGGGGTTTAAAGAAAGGACTTTGATTTAATACAATGTTCAAAAATTCAATTTATTGGGTTAAAAAGTTCAAGTTTTTTTTATTTTAGTTACAGCACAAGAAGCGAAGGTTTTACTCGATCAGCGGTCGCGAATGATCTCTCCCCGATTCGGCTTTCCCTCGCTCTTACTTTTGGTGGCAAANTTTTTTTTTTTTTTTTGCTTTTAGTTGAGTTGGGGCCAATTCTTTTTCCGAAAGAATGGCTCGAAGGACCATCGCCACGATAGCAACGTTTGTATCGTGGGGGAGTTGGGGTTTAAAGAAAAAGGACTTTGATTTAATACAATGTTCAACAATTCAATTTATTGGGTTAAAAAGTTCAGGTTTTTTTATTTTAGTTACAGCACAAGAAGCGAAGGTTTTACTCGGTCAGCGGTCGCGAATGATCTCTCCCCGATTCGGCTTTCCCTCGCTCTTACTTTTGGTGGCAAAGAATTGAGGCATTTCAGAGGTCAATGAGGTGTCCACAGTCCTCATCATGACCATACCGGCCCCCCTGCACCGGTGCAACGT